CTGTTCAGTTTAACTTGGTCATGACACTTGCACAAATATTTTCCTAATATAGCAAAGAATATGAGGGAAAAGGTCAAAGGACAGAGGAGCTGCAGTAGACCTCAAAAACTACCCAGTCAATCCACCATCTCCTAACGACTGAAAAGACAGTTATGGGCACCATCACAAAGCAAACGTATGTTCTGTCACAGCCCCTGAAGGGCTCAGTGAAAGGCATAAGGCAGATGCCACAGCCCAAAAACAGCCTCAGTGAGAAAAGTGAAAGGAATATGTTTCTGCTTTGCCTTTTCAGCCACATGGAACACAGCCTGCTCTGGAAAGAGTAGAAGGAGGATCCCTGAAGAGGCTGTGGAGTCATCGCCATCCTCCTTGAGCTCCTTTGCTGCTGGGCCTCCCTCTGCTAAGTGGCCAGGACAGGCCTTCGAGGAGACCCCAGGAGGCCTGCATGGTGACCCTGGAGGACACGGGGCTCCAACACTGCTTCCTGCACTCTGCACGGAGGCCACTCAACAGGACCTGAGGGAGCATTTTAAGGAATTATTCAGTATCTTGCTTTTAAGAATTGTGCTCAATAGCCTTAACTTCATCTTATTTTAATACCTTTCATAATGAACCATAAATGTATTCATACTAACTTCATTCTAATACTTGTTAAGGTTTTATATTCCTCTTAGGTCCCTAGGCTGAATTCATAATCATACCTTTCTCTCAGTAGATAGAGATAGATAGATAGATAATATATATATACTGGCCTATTTTACTTAGCACAATATCCTCTATGTTAATACATATAATCCTTAAGTACAATATATATAATATTCTGAATATAATATAAGTTGTACACATATATCATACCATATGAGTATATTTTTCATATATTTATCATATATCATGGCTATATATTTATATGCATAAGTATAATATATATTTATATATTTATCATATATATATATCAGATGTATTCATATGTCTTTGTACCACATGAGGAAAACTGCTAACCAGAGAAAAGATGATTGAATATTTAAAAGCAAAATAAAGACTTTCAGCATAAATAAGCTGAATTATTTGAGTAGTATCAACTTTTTAGGATAATTATATATTAGTAGAACAATCAATCAAAAGAATCAGTATGGGGGCTGGGTATTTAGCTCAGTGGTTCCACTGCCTACCTCACAAGCACAAGGTCCTGAGTTCGATCCCTGGTACCCAAAAAAATAAAAAATAAAAAGATGACATATGAATAAAGTGGATCCCTGTTTCTAGAAACAAAGATAAATCCTACTTATTTACATTAAAAAATAATTTTATTTTTCTTTTGGTATGAACATTTTGTGACCAATGACTATAGTGATTTATTGAAAAAAGATACTCAAAGAGATGAAACTAAAATTATGATGCTACTACCCAGAGATAACCATTCTTCACATTTTTTAATTTGTCTTTGAAGAATAGTTCTTATACATTTAGGTACAGTTAGATAGAGGAAAAAATGAAATATTCTGTTCCTTAGCCTATTTTCTTCTCACTTTAGGTGAGAAACACTCACGAGCATACTCCAGGTCTACAATACTATAAAACTATCATTTCCAACAACCACAGGTAATGCCCTTTAAGAATCTCACCCAGTTTATTTAACATTACTCCTGTTGATGAACATTTAGGTGATTTCCACTGGTGGGAGGAGGTCCTTACCGAGGCCACAGTGAACTCTCTTTCCCATGTGTCTCTGTACATTTCCACTCAGGTCTCCAGGCAAACTCCCAGAAGCACAACTGCTGGGTTAAGGAGATGTTGGTTTCCCTGAACGTGAATCATTATACTCCTAGTATTAGCCTCTGGGAAAAGGAATAATATAAGTCTGGAGTTGTTTTTGAGAAACTAACACAAAATCATGCTAGAAATGGGCATACTGGGCTCTGGGAGAGTTACTACAGCCTGGTTCAGCCGTACGGAGGCAGGTCAGCCGGGGTTTTTAATGCTCTATCTATTTATCTCTCATCTATCTCTCTCTACACCCCCCACACGCTTCCCCTGTTGCACAGTCTCGCTGGATGTGCTGTGCTGAATGCTAACTGCATCACAGTAGTCCAATCCACAACCGGTCTGTGTGGTTTATTGAAAGTAACCAGAGCTTCAGTGAAATTTCGTCATGACTGGTAATGAACACTTTCAAAACCAGCAGTCCTAAACTCTGGCCTCCATCAGACGCTGCACCAAGGCTAAACTTAGTCATGTGGACCCAACTTTCTTGAGCCACCACTCACCTTAACGTCAGAGACCAGGAAAGCCAGAGTCCTTGTCTCAAATTATGTGCTCCCCCCGAGACCTTTCTATAAATTGTGATGTCGGGTAATAATAAAGTAGAGGTTAAAACAACCTGGTCAGATGCAAAAGTCTTTTCAGGAACTGAAAAGGTGTTTTAACACCTTAATTTGGCATGGGAGTAGGTAAAGGTAAGGACTTAAAGATTACCTTCATTATAAAGGACTTAAGGATTACTTTCATTATAAAGATTACTTTCTTTATACTCTACACTTAAATCTTCAAAAAATGTAACCAGCCTAAAACACAAAAGAAAACATGTTCTTCGTTGTTACCCTCCATTGCCAAGAAGCAGTACAGAAAGAGCAGTGCACAGAGGATCCACCATGGGAAACCACAAGGAGAAAATTTTCCATGCCAAAGGTCCACAGGAGAAAGATTTCTGTTGTAATCCTGTACAGTGCAATAATTTTTATTTGAGGCAGTAGTAAAGTTTTATAATAGGAAAATTCTATAGACAAGTCTATGCCAAGGAGATAAGGTTCATGCACAATCACAGAATGCAAATACGATCAAAGTATTTGTGATAGCTCTAAGTGAGGCTTGAAAGGTGGGCAACTTTAGAATAAAGCAAACAGAACCTCAGGAAGGAGGGTGATCGTCAAGTACTTGGAAGGGATCACCTGTATTTTATGTGCCCCACTGGATCAACCTAGGATGAGTGGGAGAAAACTACAGAGAAGAACAATCCAGCAATCTGATCAGTCCATGCTCTAGAGGTATGAACTAGGAATGGACAGGGTTTATAGGAGATGTAGTGATGTGGAACCATTTAATTGAGTGTTTAAAATCAGGAACTCTATTAAGGTTAAAGAATTAAATACATTGTTCCAGACCTTGGAACATGCTGTATACACTAGTTTTAATTTAATATAATATTTTTTTATTTGCAGAATACCTGCCTCTGAGTCTCCGTAAGCAGACTGCCATGGCTATATGTGGTTAGGTCACTTACTAACTGTGTGGCCTTCCACAAGTTACATAAGGCATTAGACCTCCTATGCCTCAGTTTCCCTATGTATATGAAATGAAAGTAATAATACTACCACATGGGGCTGTCATGTGAATAAAATGAGTTCGCATACACAACGTACTTAGAATTGTTCTTGGATATGTATATAAATCCCTTGTGCCAGTCTTTCTCTAGCCACCACTCTCTCTCTGCTCTAACATCAGTGACTAAGTAATTCGCCATTTATCTGCACCCTCCAAATGCATGTATTTGGAGTTATTAACATAGTGGAAATATAATACCAAATCATATACACCCGAGAGTGCGAATTCTTAAATGACTATTTTGGTCATGTTACCTGAGGAAAATTACCAACTTGATTCAATAAAGGGAGACAAAAACACATGATCTCATTTAAATGGCTGCTGAATTGAGTGGGACTTTTTCTTGATTTACTGAGATACCTGACCTTCCTCTTTTATTTTCTTTTCAGATTTAACATTTGAACAGAAAACCCTGACCAGCCATACACTGCTCTAACGTGATTTGTTGTTGGTTGAGACTGGAAGTGGGCAGGAACTGAATCTGCTGCTCTCTGGAGCACATGTCTGTATCAAAATTTTACTGATTTTTTTTAAAGATTTCCTCCAGCCAGGCTTTTAACATAAAATGCAGAATTCCCAACTACATTGGGGTTTCAGATAAACAACAAATCATTTTTAGCATAAAGATGTCCTAATCATTGCATGAAACCTACTTATACCAAAAATTATTTGCTGTTCATCTGAAATTCAACTGGAATTTTGCATCCTGAATTTTTTGTTTGCTAAATCTGGCAGCCCTCCTTGCAGCTCTGAGACCATGAAGCTATAATTCACTTGGGCACAGTTCTTAGCTGCTGGTGGAAAGAATATCATCTTGTGTTAGATTTTATTTCCCAACCAAAATGCACCCTGATTGCTTTTCCAATATAAGCAATCGTAATCTTACATGAATATTTTTAGAACCCCACTCATGGTGGTATTTTGTAGTTTATTTAATATAAGCCACACAATGGATAGGGAAAGCAGAATACATTAGCTTATGTTACCTTCTAGTTCTCTAGCTTGGGGAATGATATCCAGCTGACAGAGAGAACAAGCACTCTGACAAGCAACTTGAGTTAAAGGTCGGTAGTAAATTCCAAGAGAGATGCTAGACATTTTAATAAGTTCATGTCTGGATAAAGGTAAATGAAGTCAGTCTAGTTTCAGTGGTGACGCTCAGCCTTTTCTATGTCACACAGCTGGGACCATTAACTAATTGTGCCCTTTGAAGTCACAATTCCACATTTGGACACTAAATGGACTTGGTTATCCACATCGACAAACGGGTCCTGCGGAGTCAAAGCCCAAGGTAAATAGGAAACAGGCCCCTACCTCCCCCTGCGGAGCCTGGAGGGGACACCCAGTTCTCTCCCGTTCCCTACACACAAGGTGAACCTTCTCCTGTGGAGGCGTCCGCAGGTGTGGATGGAATTCAGACTCTAAAGCGAGTGATGAAGCAGCTGCCACAGTCAGAGGCCACTTCCGGTGGGCGTGGCCAGGTCGGAAGTCAAGGCCGCCCTCGCTCAGGGGCGGTGACATTCAGCATGGGCTGGGAGCCCTCAGAGGAGAAGCCGCCAGGGCAGAGTCCCGGGAAACTGTCCCCGGGGCACCATCTGGACTGTCCCTTGCCTGCCTGCTCTTGGAGCCCAGTGACTTTTCCAGAGTCTCTGACGGTTCAGCGAGCTGCTCACCGGCCTCCTTTCCTGAGGTTATCCAGGTTGGTTTCTGCTTCTCCCTCCTGGAATCCTGGGAGAACCACTCGGGCCGTCACCGTGAGGCTCGTAGTCCTGCTTTCCGGGGCGTAGTGCCGTCCTGCTCTTGCACTCTGCAGCTCTCGTCAGACCCGGCCCCTGGACAGGAGACCTGGGGAGAGAGTCTTCCGTGGGCGAGCACGGAGGTGGGAAGCGACTGAGTCTCGAGGGCGCGCCTGCTCCCAGCCCGGGAGGCCCTGTCCTGCCAGCCTGTTGGGATCTTGCTGTAGCTGGATCATAGCGAATTGTGCCACATGCAGGAGGCGCCCCACCCAGCCGCGCCCGGCCTTGTCTTGTCCCCTTTCCGGGCTGTGTGCCCGGGTTCCCTCCCCCAGCCCGCCGGCCTGGGCTGCTCACCAAGGGCCTCGCTGCCTCCACTCTGTGAGATCCGTGCCAGTCGCATCTACGCAGTCCTGGTAGCGAAAGGTCTCAGAGATAAGAAGCCAGTGTGCTCCGCTCCTTTCCAGATGTGAACCTGTGCTGGACCCCAAAACAGCTCCGAGTTCAGTTTGACCCAGCTTTCCGAGTAGCTTAGTGACTCAATTATTTGTGAATATCTAGAAAAAAGAGGCATGATGAGCAGAAATCAGATTAGATTCACTAAAAATGTCACAGCAGCCTAATTATACATCCTTTAAAGATTTTCAGTGTAACACATGGATAGGGTTCAAAAAGATGTCAAATAACTTGAAGAGAATGATTTATAATAAAAATAAGAATCTGATTCATCCATTTCAGCTCCCATTCTTGCTACCGAGAAAAATTATGTTTAACCCCTTAGGTATTTCTTCTCTTATAATATTCTCTCTTTCTCTCTTCACCCCTTTCCCCCATCTGCTCTACTTATACAGCTACTTTTTGGTATATGAACTCTAGACATTATCTATCGAGTTGCTATTATAAAAGATTAAGAAATCTTTTTTCAATTTTGCATTATTTCCCCACCTTGTATTTCATCCTCTGCAATAAAAAAATATAGAATGACTCCATGATTAATATTATTTTATCATGAATATGTACGCATCGTTAATGCAGAACTAAGCAATGTTCAATTAATACTTCAGGCTTTTGTTTTCCTTGGAGTTTCTGATTGCCTTTTAAAAAAAAAAAATTTCTCCTGTCTGCTATGCAATTCATTAATCCTCTTTCACCCAGTGCTGACTGGGGCAGGCAGGCAGCTCACTTGTCCCCTCCCTGCCACCCCTGCTTCCCAAGTGTTATTTTAGGACTTTCCACTCCTGTCTATATCTGGAATTAAATCGCTATTTCATGGGGCCTACATCTTCCTCTTTTTTAGTTCACCCTCTTTGTTTCTCTGGAGTGCTTCCTCACAAAGCTTTCTAAGAACAATTTCACAAGCAGGAACAAGAGAAGATGCATGGTAGGTAACATTGAGTTGTTTTCACAGAACTTCTCTGCAGTAGTGGTTTAAAAACACTGCTGAGTGTCCATGCTCCTGGTAAAACACAGTGAAAAATGTGAGGTGCTGTACGCCACTTAAACTCAACTTTGCCACACTGCTGCCATCCTAGAATGCTACGTCATACATGTTTAATACATAAAATTAGGGTCCACCTCCAAATACTTACATTGAGTGTGATAGCATTTTTTTCTTTAAAAAAAAGACCAAAAGACCCCCATTAGTTGTCTATTCATTGGTTTTACTTTAGAACAAAGCAAAAGTCAAGCACTTGTACATTTTTGGACCCTGCAGGACATCAGTGAGTCTCCTCCCAGCTCCTCCAGCCAGGCAGCTCTCAGAAGTTGCCAACAATGTGAGCAGAGGCCTGAGCTGAAAACACTTTTCAGGGGCAGTGGAATCAGCTGAAGAAAAGAAGCAAGTGACCTCACTCCTGAGACCAGAGGGGTGAGTGACAGTCAGAGCCACTGAGATTGCAATGCTAGAAAACCCAGTGGAACTAGTTTAGAGAAGAGGAGATTAGTACGAGGACGTAAGAGCAGCTCAGACGTCATGGGCAGAGATGTACCCAGGGCCAGGACATACTCTGAATGCGAGCTTGAAGCAACTGGGAGACCAAGGTGTCTTCTCTCTTCATCTCAGATTCTCTCACAGCAGGGTACCCCATTTCCCTTAGACAGGCCGCATGCCGTATCACAGCCGACCTCTGTTGTTGAAGTCCCAGCCAGAGTGAAACTGAAAGTTCTGGGTCCCAGAGTTCCTGGGGGCCAGAGCCCTGAACCAAATACCCATTCCAGGATCAATCAGCTATTGCTGGAAGACTGAGAATCGAATCCTAGGAACATGATTACTGTCTTGGAAACATTGTATCCGGTTGCTGGAGGGAATAATTTTCATAATATTGGGAGGAGAATCAAGGAAACAAACAATGAATGCCCAACAAATCTAATTTACAAAGACCAAATGAAACAAAATCCAGGAAGATTGTGAAGGTACATTCTGGAACTCAAATGGAGACATCCAGACTCAGCGGGTAGCAACAGACAGCCACAGAGCAAACCCTTCCTGCCCTTTCCATAAGATGAGGGAAATCTGGAATTTGATTTACTTTGAAGGAAATGGAGGTGACAAATAGTACTTCTGAAAGGTCGAAATGACAGGGAGAAAGGGAGGCTGCAGAGGCCAAGCGGGAGTGGTATCAAGGGCTCTAACCCTTAACCTTTAACCCCAGCTCTGATTTACAGGCTTCTCAGTTCAGCCATGATCCCAACCGACCGGGAAGAATAGAACTGTTACATTTTTCTCTTTGCTGAGAAGGCCTGGTCCCAGTGTCTAAGCTTCATGGCTTCTTGTCTGTGGTTGAGATCACTCACACGGCACTGTTCTGTCTCCCTCAGGGCCTTGTCACATGCTGTTCCCTCTGCTGGGATCGCACTTCCTCACATCGAACTCTGCTCCCGATGGCCTGCTGCACGGTGAGTGCAGTCACCCTGCTGGCTCCAGAGCCTAGAACAAGATGATCAGACCACTCAGTCCCCAAGCCCGTGGCCCTTGGCACAGTGGGTCTTAATCGTGCTCTAAGGTATCTCCTCCCTGGTGCCAAATGGCATCTACAGAGCGGCTGTGCATTTCCTCATCTGCAAACTCCATTGCTGTTTACAGAAGGTAACTGAATATTCCTGCTTCTTAGATCTCTCACCAAAACTGAAAAAAAAAATTTTTTTTCTGTCTTCTTCCTACTACCTCACTCAGTTACCTTCTGGCTAAAATCTCCTGTTCTTCCTTTCCTCATTCAGTGATATAATGGACATTTCAGAGTGACCGCCAGGCTCCAGGTATCATGCGCTTGCAGGGTCACAGGTATGGAAGACAATTTGTTCCCAACTAGTTTCCATATCATTAATGCCTCTTTCTCCTGCTTACACTGGGATTCGCGGGTGCCATAGTGCCCCATCCACAGCTCCCTGCTCAGCTGCATTTCTCCTGCAGACTGGGGATTGCATTTGCTAGTGGGGCATGAGCTTGATCTTACTGTGCTGCCCAAAGGAGCATCGGTGGCTTCTCCACTGTCACCGTGAGTGCGGAATGTTTGTGGTAGACCACCGTCAAGCCCAGGCTGGGGGCAGGCAGTGCAGGCAGGAGGAAATAGTTTCTATTTTTAATGTGTCAAGTGAAGGAGCTAAAAGCAGAAGGGGGAAATCTCTGACCAGCCCTTCTGCCCCCGAGTTTCTCAGCTTCAGCTACTAAGGGACTTAAAATCTTACTCATTAGACTTTCCATGGGAAGCTCTGAGGTTCTCATGCTCCTCTGCGGAGTTTGAGGCTCCCTCGTCCCCAGGGTGTGGGACCACCAGGGCAGCCGACTACTCAACAAGGAGGGAGGCACACGGCATCGGGTGTGCTCAAAAGGGATGGAGGTTCTGAGGGAAAAACTGCACACGTGGAAAGGCTGACTTGGGTTCCATTCCCCATGCCCAAGGGCCATATTGTGAATCTCTTTTGACCTAATGCCGGACGATAGCATTCTGATCCACCGTGACCTCCCTGCACTGTATCCTATGGAGTACGTGTGGCAGAGGTAACCACCTGCCTTTCCAGCAGCCGCTGCTTCCCTGTGACCATCGCCTGACACAGCCATGGAAGTCTCTCAGGACTCACTCTGGGAGAGAAAGGTCTTGGCATCCCCTGAATCCTTCAGAGCAGCCTGTCCATCCCAAGGGGCCTGAAGGACTTGAGTCAAGGCTGTGTGGGTGATTACAATTATGTGTCCCTCGTTATCTCATGTGTGACAACAACTTACCATTTCACTCACACATCCAATTTATTTTTATTGAGTATCTCACAAGTCCAAGCCCAGAGAGATCCTGGGGGACAGTGGATGAGTCCAGGAAAGAGCTGTGACACAGAGCACTAATGCAGGGAATGAAAGGAGCAAAGAGTTTGTGGGTTCACAGAGAGGCAGCCTCTCCTCTTGCGAGTAAGGGTGGGTGGCAAAGGAGGAATCACAGAGGGCTGATCACTCACACTGTCTCAAAGGAAGAGGAGGGACTGGCCAAATGGAAAGAAGGGAGGGAGGAATGAAGGAAGAGAGCAAGGGAGGGGGGAGAACTGAAGGAAGGAGGGAGGGAAGGAAGATGTGAAGAGTGTAGGGCACACAGAGTGGAGTGAGGCGTACGCCAGCAGAGGTAGAAAGGAAGGGACTTTACCTTGGAAGCCAACACGTGTGGATTTTAACTTCAAAGTTCCTGGGAGTCACTGCTGACGGCTTCTCGCAGAGTGGTGGTGCGACCCATGATAGGTAAGAGATTGGGTGAGCTGCCCGCCATCCAGCCAGTGCCCCACCAACTCTGGAGGTAACAGACCCTGGGAGAGGACTTGGAGATTTGTTGTCATTTTCTACATCAAGGCTCAGCTTTTTTGGACAGTGATAAAGCACAAGCATTTTATCATCCCTTCAGGTGCCTAAGATGACATAAAAAGATCTTAGATGACTCTACAGTTTCTGCATTTCTCTGCTGGGCTCCGGGGACATCTTCAAAATCAGAGGGAAGGTGTGTTACAGGGTGACACAGCTTGAACTCCGCGTGCAAGAGTAGCTGAGTGACATCGCGCTGTGGTGCTCATTCAGCAGGCGCAGTAGGCGCAGGAGAGCACACAGCTCTCCAGGGACAGTCAGAAAGATGGGATTTAGCTCAGTGGTCCCACCACCTGTCTTGCAAGGGCAAGGTACTGAGTTCAACCTCCGGTACCCCGACCCCCAGGACAAAAAAAAAAAAAAGAAAAAGACTGGGCTTAGCTCCTCCACTGGCCCACGGCACCAGCTCAGACATATCCCTTCCATGAAGACTCAGCTTCCCCTCAAAACCATGGAAACAATGACATCAATCTTGCCTACTAACTACAATTTCAGAGTGAAATATGGCTTGAAAAAGTGCTTTACATGAAATAAAATAGGATGAAGAATCACCTCGGTGATAATGATGATGGCGCCGCATCTGAATACTTAGTCTCCTCCTGCATGTACAATGCTGTTTGTCTCTGTCGTCTCATAAATACCAGCCCCGTCGCTCTCCGCTGGTATGGATAATGGGTAGAAATAGTTAATATAATGCTTGCAGAAGCATCAGACTTAAATTACCGCTAGAATGGGTGTTTGTTCTAATGAAATTGGTTGCCTTGATCATGTAAAGGTACGAGATCCCAATGATGAATGTAACTGTAGGGTATACCTAAAAAGTACCAATAAACTCAATGAAAACAAGAAAGGAAGAAATTGGTTGCCTTGTGGTGACAGTATCAAAAAGTATGCAGCTGTGCTTATCCTGAGCTTTCATACAGCCCTCAACAACTCAGTGAATTTACAGAGGCGGGAGCTGAGGTCCAGAGAGATTTTGTGACTGCCCAAAGTCACACACTTGGAAAACGCCGAGGCCCTTTGCCTTCATATCTCACTGTCCTAAGAGCGATTCACCTGAGAGCCAGCTCCAGGTGCCAAAGGGTACCAGCGGGAGACTGGTTCAAATATATGGTCACCTACGATTAATGTTGTCCTTATTTGGTTGGTGGCTGAAAATTGTGTTGGCTGAAGAGTACAACAGTTCTATGGCTAAGACTGGCAAAGATCTTTCAACTCTACAGGATGACAGACTCCTTTTTAAATGTATGTTTGGAAAGAGCAATAGAGAAGAGGAGTTGTAAAAAAATGGTTTATCTTTGCCCACAGTTTGGCTTCCCTCATTGTTCGGTAAGTGTTCATTGAGGTTTACAGCGTGTCTGTCACAAGTTCTGAGCAGTGAGGCTACAAGACAACAAGCAAAATCCTTGACTTTATAGAGCTAACATTCTTCTGGGAAGAAAGGCAAGCACAGGGTTAAATGACTCAGATATATCATACACCAGGAAGTTGTGAGTATTCAAAAGAAAAAAATAAAGGATGGAAGAGTAGAATGAAATATTGCAGAAGGAATAACTGAGATATTAGAATAACTGAAATAAAACATCATTGAGAATACAACTATTGAGCAAAAATACCTGAAAGAAATAAGAGCATTACCCATGCAACTGTCTAATGAAAGAGCTCTCTAGTCAGGCAAAGGAAGCAGGAAGTACAAAGGTCCTGAGGCAGGGTGTATGGGGTACAGTGAAGAAAAATCAAGGGTCCAAAAGAGCTGGTCTGAGAAATAGAGGAAAGAGTGGTAGAAGATGAAGTCAGAGAAGCAACAGGAAAAGGAAACAAGATCAATCTGCACCTTGTAAATAGACATGACACATAAATTATATGCTCTTATGTTTTAGCAATGAGAAAAGTCATTACTGATTCCAAAATCAAAAGGAAACTGATCACTGGGCTTAGACTAAATGCTCTCTCCCTATTTCAGCTACTACTGACTAGCATTCAGATTAACCCTGGATGGTTATTCAACATTCCAGTGGCAACAGAGTTGACTTCTCCTAAAAGTCCGGTATCTGGGCAGCATGACCATCTGAAAGGAGTGGAGCGTTAACTTTTGAGTAATTCAACAGAGGTAACTCCACACACTCGCACTCATTTTCACCCATGTCAGCGTTGTCACTGCAGGCTGTCTTCAAGTTGTGGTTTCCTACCCAAATGCAGCTTAAATTCCTAGTAAAATACCTCTCCCCTCAGCCCTTTCTTCCTGTTGCTCTTGCTTCACACCAAGAATAGTGAAACCCTAATTACTATCCAGTTCCTCTCCCAACTTTTTTTTTTTTTTTTTTTTTTGATACTGGGAATCGAACTCGGGCCCTTGCACTTTTGAGGCAGGCGCGCTTTTGAGGCAGACACCATTCAAGGCAAGCAACCGAACCAACTGAGTTAAATCCCCAGCCCTCCCAGCTCCTTAATCTCTACTTTCTCTCTAGTTATAACTAACTCCTTAGATAATAAAAGGACTCTTCATTCTCACTGCAAAGTTCTTTATCTGATTTCTATTAATTTCTTAATATTTTATCAGCTTACTCCTGTCCCCAAATGCCTCAATTTTATCCTTTTATAGACTGCTTCAGATTGTTACTGAGACTGTCTACCCTCCCCAATTTGATTTTTTAATAGCTGCACATTTTGAAGAGAACAAAAGAGAACAAATAATTTTACACCGTTGTTGCCTCCGAAGGTCATTTAATATATGATAGAGAAAACTTTCTTCTCTGTTTTTCATTTATAAATACCTATCTATACACAAAAACACATTTTTATGAATCAAAATATAGCGAAGTATAGCTTAGAATTGCTTATAACATTAGCTAATGTCTACTAAGCACTCACTTCCTACCAAGGCATTACCTTATTTGATTCTCCATTTTACTACTATCAAATTAAGTATTTAGGAAAATTAAGACAGCTGCCCAAGGCTGCTTAGCTAATAAATGGTTGACTGAGCCTAGAACCCAACTAATTTGACTCAAGCACCCACATCCTTGACCACTCAGGTAGGAAGGAGAGAGTTGTCTTGCAGGAAACGTGCATAAGGGCAGTGCTCCCAGATCTACCCAGCCATGCCTCAAGGACAAACAGACCTCCCAAAGGTGAAAAGGTCTTGTTGGGAGAGTGTTATAATCCATTGTAAGTGCAACATTTCCTCAAAGTCTCATGATTTAGCTCAAAATTTGTGGTCATTTTGCATTCTGTTCCATAATCTACCGCTGTTGTTTTAATAGGAAAGCAATCTTTAACTCTATTAAAAGACACAAAAAACATGAATATTTATCAGATGGATGGCAAACATTGTAAAGATGTCAGTTTCCCCCAAATTAATCTAGTATTCAGTGTGACTCTGATTTTTTAAAAAAATCTCCAAAGGGTTTTGGTGAAGAAAATTTCTAATGTAAGTTTTTAAATTTTTATGACTGAAAGATATTTAGAGATGGATGAAACAAGTTTGGAAAAGAAAAATGCCCTATTACATGTTTAGATATAAGACAAAGCTGTCATGATAAAAAATAAAACATTATAGCACTAATTTAGAGAACAACCAGAACAATAAAAAGCTCAGAATAATGATTATGAAAAAATGTATGTTCATACACAAAACACACATATGTGTGTGGATACATGTGTAAATGATGATGAGAGGAAGAAAATGTATATAATTCAGTGTGCAGTTTTGGGAATTTTTGCTTATTTTGCAGGAGAAATAAAAGATCCCTACCTCACACCATATATAATAATAGACTTGATAAATAGGCTGTCTATACTTAAAAAGTAAATACAGGAAGGAAACAAGGAAGGGAAGGAGGGAGGGAGGAAAGAAGGGAGGTAAAGGAAGGGAGAGTATATCTTTATTAGCTGTGGTTGGGGAGAAAATACCACAATATATATCCAAAGAATAGCTTGTTTTAGGAATCCGATATATTTTACTATTTCAAAATTGCAGGTGAACACAGTCTCCTTGCCCTATTCACTTTCTTCAGTATTTCACTTTCTGAAATTGACTTGCTTACCCTTTGACTTTTGCTCCAAGACACTCCTTTCAAGTGCGCTTTGGGAGGCAAGCCCCATGCTCACACAGTGCCCCTGCAGACATAGCACCAGAGCAGAGCCCAGCATAGATGGTGGGCTGTAAATGGCTCCTTTGCAAGCTGATTCAGGGATT